AATACTTCAAGGTCTAGCAAATTCCTCACTTGCCTCAAAGACAATTTACAACACTAAGAAAATCTTAATTTCTTATATTCTTTTCCCCTTTTTCAGAAAGTAGTTGTGTACATGAAAGAGCTTCTGTGCCATCATTTCAAACACGTCTCTTATCTCCTGCTTTCATCACCCCTGTGTCAATAACGCCATCAAAAGTGTGGGACTGTGTAATTTTACAATACAGTTTAGTTTTCTGGATTTACTGGATTTTGTTAAGCTGATGGTTCTTATATGTCCACTAGATAGTCCTATTCTGATGACCCACAACATTGTATAATGAAAAAGGAAATACATGAGATTGTTAAGGGTCTTGATGGATACCGGTACTTTTTTTTTTTGCCGAGTGTGGATTCTCTGATATTTTGCTTGAGATACTGGATGCATTTATGTTGATTAGAGTTTTGTGTTGGCTGAAGAAATGTGATGGGATAGTTCCAGTATGAACTACAAAACATAATTTTTCAGATTTCTTTTCATTAGTCTTCGAAACAACAATTTCAGGACCAACCCTTTCCCTGCTCTTTCTGCCTTTATCATATGGCAGATGGGTGATTTTTACTTGTTAAGGTGAATTGACTTCTTACAAAGGCATTTCCACTGCACTGCCATAAATCAGTTGGAAAAGGCCGGCTGTGAGAACAGTAAATCAGCACCCTGGGCCTTGTCATTTTGCCATCCAGCCTCCATGCTGGGAGTCAACATCTGTTCCCAGCAGCCATTCAAGTTAAAAAGTGTTTTAAAAACAGTATTTTTTATACTTGCACTTCTTCCAAACTTTGAAGAGGTGTTAGTACTAAAGTGTATTTTTCTTTGGGGAAGAGGAAATGAGGAAATGATGGTAGCCTACAAAAATATATATTTGTTTGAAGCTATGTGGGTGAAATCATATGGAAATTTTGATCTTGAACTTCTTGTTCTGTATGAAAAGACTCAATGGCTGAGGCATGGAAACCCATGCAGAACTCCAGGATAATCACTGCAGCAAAGTTTTATGTGTACAGTGACTTTATTCACCAGAAACTGTGAGGATGCTCTACCTTCAGTACTGGATTTATGCACAAGCTAAGTAAACTACACTTTAGGATCTCAAATTATGAGAAGCCTCCAGGCACAGTACCCCCATATTCTCCCACATTTACATTGTTGGCAAGCTAGAAGGCCCTGTAAGCTTGGAATTGTACAGGGCTTCAGCATGTATTAATTTTTCCCTGTGTAGTCTCAATAGATTTGAGACTCAACAGAATGAGGTGGTTGAATTTCTAAAAACAATGATTTTGATGCTTCTGCTTCTTGTAGAACTTCTTAATCCCTGACCAGAAATCATTTCCCTCTAAACCTAAATGGGTAGCAGTAACTGTATCAGTGTTGACAACCAATTCTGTGCCCTCATGCTCTTCTGAGGTGCCACAGGGGTGCATCAGTCAAGTCCAACCAAGTGCAGAAAATCAGGCCTCAGTAGTTAAAACTCAGAAGACCTGTATTTAAAAAAAATATAGATCCATGTTCCAGTGAAAATTAAAACTGCCTAATTAAACTACATACAATTTCAAAGTTCAGGCAGGCTTAATATTTGTTATACTTAATAAACACAGTTCTCTCTTTCCCACACTACCAGCTTTTGTTGTTGTTACAGGTAAATATACAACTCTAAATATACAACCCCTCCCAGAGGCTTTCTAAGTCAGTTTCTGCCAGGAAGAAGAAGGAAGGCAGTTTCTGGGCAACCATATCAAGTGGGTGAGTGTTTAAATTCTTTTAAAAAGCCATTGGGGAGAGTGTGACTGTTGCTGATTGGGTGGGGCTTTGGTGAGTCACATTTGTGAGTCAATAGGGGTGGAGTAAGCCAATTAGCTCTATACAACTCTTCCCAGAAGCTTTCCAGGTCAGTTTCTGCCAGGAAGGAGAAGGAAAGCAGTTTCTGGGCAGCCATATTGAGTGGGTGAGTGTTTAAATTCTTTCATATGAATTTTTTCATAGGATAAAGAAAGCACAGTACAGGTAGAAGGCTTTGACCTTTCTTTTAGAGATTCTCCTAATAATAATAATAATAATAATAATAATAATTTAAAGGGCTTTGAAGTTGTTGTTTTTTGGTCAGAGGAAGAGAGACAGAGACTTGCCGCCAGATTAAGGTAGCATCCAGGAGCTCTCTGTAGAATTAGAAATCCAGTTGATTGAGCTCGCTGACAGAGCCTGGTGAAAAGACCAAGAGAACAGGGGCTTTTTGAGGGAGAAGCCCACAGTCCTGTTTCAGTGCTTACTTAAGATTTCTCAATATGGACACTGAAGGAGTTGCTGCAGTCACCTGCAACACTTGTGGGATGTTTGTCTTCTTGCCAAGAGATGTGGGGAACTTCACCTGCACCAAGTGCAAGTTTGTAGCCCTCCTGGAAGAAAAAGTCAAGCAGCTGGAGGCTCAGCAAATAAGGGAGCAAGAGATTTACCTGGACAGAGTGGAATGAACAGTCTTGGACGAGGACCACACAGAGGAAGTTGTTGAGGAGGAGGTCATTTCATGTACACA